TTCCAGTAAAGAAATGTTTCCTAATGTCCAACCAAAATCTGCTCTGCTGTGACTTGAGGCCATTTCCTCTTGTCCTGTCCCTAGTAACTTGGGAGAAGAGGCCAACACCCACCTCACTACAACATCCTTTCAGGTAGTTGTAGAGAGCAATGAGGTCTCGAGTACCTAGTAAAAAAGGGGAAGGTTTGGGGAGATACTAGTTGAAAATCAGTAATTAGTACTATGGATGAGGAAGGAAACAGGAGAAATTTATTTAGGAGTGAACTTATACTAACAGAGACACTATGAGGATGTCTGTACCCTGACATTTTGCTGTTAAGGGTACTCCGCTGATTTTGCAGAATGAAGTCAATGAAGAGATGCAATATTTAGAGAAACAATTTAAAATGGAGTACCAAACCCCAAACCATGCCATTACAATGTAAAACGCTACAATATTTTAAAAAATTTACTTGCTTGTAACTCTAAGGAGAAAATTTTCAGAGGTTTACTCTTCATTAACTACTTTCTGTAGTACCAGTGGAAAGAGAGATTTGTAGAAGCATTTGCCATGCAATTTATCCTTGAAGTATACAATTATATTTACAGAACAGGTATTTTAATCCTCCTGCATTTAGTGTTCTGCTGGAGGCAGTACCGTACCAAATAGCAAACAACAGGTATTTTCACAGCCATTTAACTACCCGCTCCTCCCCGCAGTGCTAACATTTAAGCAAAAATAGCTCTATACCGAGTCTTACAAGGTGTAATCTTTTCAAGACTTCAAACTCCTTTCACATGCAGGGTCCCTTGTTGTGTGTGGTACTTCTCACGCAGCAGTGATGTACGTACAACTTAAAGCTAACAGGAGTGCAAAATGCAGCATTTTTTCCAGTGCAGTGCAGTCATTTTCCAGTGCAGCGCAACAAACGTTTGCAAAACTATTTTTTTGATAAAAAAGAAAGTGCAGAGCATTCGCTGAGGGTGAAATTCTCCACCTTTGAAGGACGGTGCATGTTAAGTTTCTCATTGTACCTCTGAGCTTTTTGTGTGCTCCTCTTTCTCCTTCCTGTCTGGGATTTCCAGAGTTGGTTTACGAGTGTCGTCTGTGTCAGACACGCGACTCTTTTGCAATTCTTTCTTTTCTCTATCTTGAACCTAGAATCCCAATATAGTGCCATGAAACTCCCAAAAGTTATAAAATTAAAATAAAACTAGTTGCTCTAAGATAGGAAGAACCAGCAGTTCCATTGTTGACATAGCGATGAACACAGGGTTTCATCTCAGAAGCTTGATTTTATGAAGTTTTCGATGTTATAGTTTTTTTTCTTTTTAGCCCCTAGTCCAGCTATTCCAATAAAAATCAATACATTTTTTGAAACAACTAGTCTGGCATTTGTAAGTCATGGAAGCTATGTTGTAAAAAAACCCCAAAATCACATTCCCTTTAATTCTACTCTTAAACTCTGTTTAAGAGCACCTTTTTTCTTACAAGCCCAAGAACAAAAAGGTCAGTAGTAGGAAAAAAAAAGTTATTAATAGGACCAATTACAAGAACAAAGGGAAGAGCTAAACACAACTGCATTGTGTCAGAGTTTATTTCTCAGGAGTAACCAGAGGTAGAGGACAGAAAAACATGGTGAGCTGTTTCACAAGAGAAAATGCACAGCAAAAATCATTAAAACAACTGGGAAAGAGAAATACTACCAATTATTCATGCTGACAGCACAAGAAGATTAAATTATAATCTGGAGAGATTGAATTTAAAAAATAACCTAACTCTCAGAGTCTGCTTGCAAAGAATATAAAGGCTCAGAAAAGAGCAGAGCAAACGGAGGACGTGCACGGGAGAGGGCTGCGGGACCACTAATGACGGATCTCTGCCAGAGGAGCAATGAAATATCCACGGAGGGCTGGTAGCACTTCAAACCGGCTAGGTCAGTCTGAAGAATGACGAGCTGGCTCAAAAGAAATGGAGAAGCAGGGACATAAACGGATAAAGGCAAGTGTTACTCAGTCCAGACTCTACTAGGCTCTTAAGAGAGAATAAAGGATATCACAGAAAGCATGCGAACAAATGCAACTGGATAGCCACCCGAATGTTCCTGGGTACAAGCAAGACTAACTGAGGCGTTAGCTTCTTTCCTGAGAATCACACTTAGCAGCCCAGTTTTGTGACAAAGCCTCACCGAGCCTCCTGCCCACCTCCCAGCCCCTGCACAGAACGGCAGTACCTCCACCTCTCAGCCCTCTGTCAGTAGTTTCAGAATCTCACTAAATCATAGAATCATAGAATGTGAAATGAAAAACACCACAGATATGAGCCTCCTCCTGACAAAACTCACCAAGCAGATTCTATCTGACGCTCAACGTGTGAAAGGCAATCGCAGTTTGGGATATTTCGCTGTCTAAGCTAGCACTTCTCAGACTGTTCGTGATAAAATTTGGTCACCAGTCCAGAAATGCACTGAAAGTCACCCCCAGATGTGGGACTATCCCAGAAGAAAGTGGAGTAGAGGATCTTCCACCTGCTCCTACATCTCTCCCAGTCTTCTGGCCGCTGTGGCAGCTTCCAGAAAGGCCAGTTTCAGGAGCCATTATGTCTGAAGGTTGCCCCAAGGAGGATGTTAATACAAGATATAACTGAACAGGTGGAAGGAAAATTTCTGAATCACAGAATCACAGAAGTACAGCCAAGCGGATGCACCCAAGGACTGACCAGAACTACCTATGGCTAAAGAAATCACAGTTAGATATCCATTGTCTAAAAAGATGTATTTTAGATTGAAAATTTCCATTGCCAGTAGTTTAATCTCAGATTTCTAAGCTGCCACAGTCAGGATTCTGCAAAGGTAAACTGACCTCAGTCATCAGATATGTCCTGTAGAGGATGGGAGACCCAACACCATCCTCAGTTACAACCCACGCAGAGGCTCTTGTCCAGCTCCATATGTGGTCTTCAGTGTGAGGACAGCAGTCTTGGTACTGCCCTGACTTACAGCACCCTGGCCCAGGAATTACACTCTCTGTGCTCGCGTATCTCAGGAGAAAACAAGCTTCTGTTGCTCTTCACCTAGATGGAAACGTGTCCAACCGCGCACATCTCTCCGAGGTTGCTGTCGACAGCGAGAGACTATGGCCTTTTGCAAAAAAAGCCACTTCGTGGTCCACCAAACACAAAGCAGGCCAAGGTGCCCTGCGTATGTGAGTTTGCGGCAGGTGGGGACAGACAGAGCAGGAGCCTCAGGGGGTCAAGTGATGTCTTGGATGGATTTTATGGAAGGTACACTGTATTTGGAGGCAGCCCTGAATAACGCCTCTCCAATCCAGATGCTTAGATAAGGGTGGGCAAAAGTCACAGTAACTCAACAGGAGCTTTAAGACGTTTCACATCCTATCTGAAGAAAGGTCCCTTGTGAGTCAGACCTCCAGATGAATAAATCATTACCTCCGTAAAGATCTTTTTGCCATGCAGAAACCAAAAAACTCTATAGCGAAGATATTCCTGACTCCTGGTAAAATATAGGTAATTGTGCTGCAAAGCGGTGAGCAAGGTATGGGCTTCAAGCAGATACAACCCCAAAATCTTTTGCACATGTTCTTCTCCCAGTCAGGAGAGACTGCCATTGTGCATCTCATTACTGGAAAACAGCTCCCACAATAGGCTCAGCAACAGCATCAGTCGAAACCAGGCATCCTCGGTGAAATTAAAGTAGGTAAGTCTTCCTGAAAAGGCAAGATCATCCTCAAAGACAGGCTTCACAAAATAAAGCACAAAAACAACAAAAAACCCCAAATAAAACAAAAAGAACCCCACCACTCCAGAGCCAAAAATCATCAAAGGCAGAAGTTTGAAGGACGAAGGTGGCAGAAGATCTGAGGACTTTTCCAGTTGTTAGCACTGGCAGCTGCATTGGCTCGCTCAGAGAATAACAGGCCCTTCTTTTTAGTAACAGTCCCTCCTTTTCAATAAGTCTCTCCATTTTACTCAGCATTAATAAACCTGCTAGGAACGTATATGAAGGATGGAATGCCGTGAGTTGGACTAGGAAAGACTTTTTCTCAGTCCAAAGCTGAGAGTTCTATAGAACTATTGCCAGTGTATTTGTCAGTCCATACATATCAAGAATATTGAAGATCTTATTTGCTGCTTTGGGGTTATTCCTCATCGTTTCTCATGGAAAGGCTACACAACACTCCAGGTTATCACAGACTTCTTTTTGTCCAAAACACACACTTTTCAAAATTATTTAGGACAATCAAAAGGTTTATTTTAATTGATGATTAATTAAGAAATTGTTTGCTTATTATAACTGAAGGTGGAGGATGATACAGGGGATGTGCAACGTAGCTTGTTACTAATTTCAGATGCTTCTTTTAATTATTCAGAAACAGTTTTGTGAAGAGACACATGTAAACTAATTGCAAGAAAACCCAAAAGAGATCAGAAAGCAAACAAGCTCATCTGGCCACTGAAGATGAAAAGCGAGGACTGCACCTGAAATTAAATTACCTTGTTATTAGAAACTGTCTTCAGGATAAACCTATATCAGAACACACCTGCATTTTCAAACTGTATTTAACTTGAGGCTTGAGATCATGTCTCCTAATTATCTGAAAAGCAAATGGAGCTTAATTATGTCTTATTTAATGTGTTACAACTGAAATTGTGCTAATATTATTCACAAAAACATTCACACTTTTTGTACAGTTTCTCAAAGCTCTTTTTTATCTTCACGTAAGATGCCAAAGAGAGGAAAATGAATACATCATCCTGCTTTACAGCCCAGTGTCATCATGTTTGTGAATGACAAGAACACTTTTTTCATTTTCTTTAGCCGTGTTACTAGTCTTGGGTAAGCACCAAGGAAAGTAAAATTTAAAAAAGCTCCACCACCTTCATTACAATAATAGTAATAATAGAAGATGAAAAAATACATCTTTACTGACATGATGGAAATAACCATGCACTCACAGCAGTTGTTTGTGGTAGAAAATTAACTAGGAAATTGCAATCACATTATTTAATTGCACTTCAGGAATTACTTCAGGGTCTTCAGCAATTGTCCTATTTTTATAGAATGCGATACTCATGCAATCCACAGCTCAGGTGCTTTCAGAGAAAAAGCAGATGTGATTATTTTTCTGTTGCAAAAGTGAATGCATTTTTATCAAAGGATGAAATGTAAGATTGAGTTTTGTCTTAATCTTTCTCAGTGTTAGATCACAGCATGTGGTCACACAAGCATCTCAGAGCAATGGCTGTATTTTACCGTGTCGCTGCAGTTTACTCTCTCCTTACACCTCCGTAACAGAGGCTTCACTGGGTGCTGGCTACCCAGGACTCTCTGCCGTGGCTCAGTTAACTGGGATGTTAACATTTTAGTTTAACAATTCTTAAGTTTAACAGCAACTAAACCAGCAGAACCACCCAGTGCTGAAGCCTTCGTCACCAGACGGAGCCACGAGTCCAAACGCCTCGTGTCTTTGTCAAGTGACATCGATTCGAATTCCAGAGAAATGCGTGTGCTCACAGGAGGGCTAATTAAAACCTGCAGAAAGCTATTAAGAATACTCAAGCTCAAAGGCTAGACGACACAAATTAAACCATATGTGCTCAGCAACAACAGCAGAACATGCCAATACTCATGCCACAAGATGTAAGTTGGTTCAAAGGCCAGATTTACACAGTGAGAAAGAATTTAATGAGTAAAGAGGAGCAATGGTGAAATTTAAGATTTCAGACGTGGATGAAAAAACCTGAATGATTCAATATTTCAGTCTGAAGCACTAAGTGAAGCTGGTTTTGGATTTGAAGAAAGTCTTCTGAAGCAACCTGAAGTGATTTATTTTTTTTAAGAAATGAAAATGTTTAACTGTAAATAAAACGCACAGGACTGACAGAGCAGCTACAGTGACTGTTGAATACTTAAGAACAGCCAATCTGTGTTAAGGATATGGAAAATGAAGTAAGAAAAATACATGCATACACAACTAGCTAGAGACAGGGATATCCCGAGGACAACAAATATATCACTGTTTAAATAACAAATACAGTGTTTAAATAACAAAGGAGTGAAAAGATAATGTGATTTTTTTTCCCCTCATTTATTTCTTAAGAGCATTAAGACCTTACAAAGATTTTCAAGAATGCTGGTATTCTTGCAGACCTGTCCAAGCTTATGAACTATCAGTACGTACTACCAGGGTAAGAGATTTCCCTTAATTACAAACTGTGCCTGCACAATGTGAGTCGTTAGTGGGAATGGTAATAAGGAGACGCCCTCTGAGATTCAGCTTCAGCTGTTTGTAACGGTTTTGTACTAGGCTGCAGGGTGTAGGATTTTACCTTTCAGCGACTCTATTCACATTAGAGAGAAGACTTTGCTACTGTGCACACTGACCCACTTCTGGCAAACACAATAAGGGCTAGATTCTGCACCTCGTTGTAAGTCGCTACTCAGGGGGTGCCTGATCTAAATTTCCCTGCAGTCGAAGACGCACCCCTGCTGACTCAATGGACTTTTGACACAGCTGATTGGCTATCTACTCCATGGAATGTGAACAGACGTTGAACCTAATGGCATGGAGTGGTCATTAACATACTTGATGCAGAAATCCACTCACTTAAGTCTGAGATATAAACTGTGATCAGGCCTGTTCTCTTGCTAGTACACAAGTGTCTCATATCAGTAAAATTTAGGAGAGTGCTTGTATATATCGATGTCAAAGTTCTGATCTATGTAGATTTAAAACCAAAAATTCCATCTGATAAACTCAGTATTATTGGGGAAAAAAGAGCAACTCAACATAAAACAACAAGTTAACTTTACGGAATGGAACTAGCAATTATTATGTATGAAGTTGACAGCAGATGCAGAAGACCATTTGGTGGAGTTACGTTAAAACCCCATCTTGAACTTTTGAGAGGAACAAGGATCCTTTTACATTACCTCAACTGAAATCTCCTTCGGTGCCATGGGCCACTTGTGCTCATACTTGTCTTTCACAGTTTGTTCGCTGTTGGCAGTTGGTGCCGAGTTCTCAGGCCGTACTCCATGGCTGGTTTTGCCCACCAGATTTTGAACTGATTTTACCATATTCTTTAAATCCTCCGGGTATGGAGTGGGGTAACGTTTTAGATTTATTTCAACCTGAACATTCATAAAAAGAATTAAAGCACAAGTACAAAATGAAAACACCATGCAGACTAAAACTATGGTTACAGTACTATGCCTAAGTGCAAATTCCTCAAGTTTTTAATTACTCTGTTTGAGGTAACGTGTTACTTACAGCTATCTTCATGGACTTTCGGATGGAAATTTGCTCTCAGTTACACTACCTCAACCTACAATGTAATTTTGGTGACAGAAAATAATGGATGAGAAAGGTTCCCTATGAGCCTCTCTTTTACCCTGTGAGGGTATCATATTCTAATTCTACATTTTGCCTGAGAGTACTGCCATATTAAATCACACTTTTTAAAAACAATGCTGGTCTAAATGCAGAATTAATTTAGCTATGTTCTGATATGTGTTCCTGGTGTACTGAATTAATCTGAATTATCTCCGGCAGCTGAGAACAGAATCTGATCTACCGGGAGCTATTTGCTCTTTGAGATGTACGTACATGCTGTCAAGTGTATGTCATTCTTTTCTTGTGGAGAAAATACAGGAAAACAGGCTCAAACCACTATAGAAAAGTCATCTAAGTCACACTGAACAGCACTTTCTCTGACTGACAGACCTACAGATTTTCTAGAAAACTCCACATTCTAAGTTGGTAACTTTTACCACTCAGAAGTAGAGAAACATCGCATTTCCCTAGTCCAAAGTGACCCCAACTTGAAGGCCATTCTACAAAACTGAGCAAAAGGAGGCTCACAGATGACATCACCCCCTGCCTTCTGGCGAGACGTTACGCCATCAGCAAATCACTCTGGGGAGACAGAGCAGCAAATGACCGAGCAGGAGAGACGACATGCATGACGCCGACCTCTCCTTGTACCTCTCCCAGTGTGTTACAGACACACTTTGCCTCCTCAACATCTACAGCACGAGAAGAGACGCTGAGGGAACTGAAGGGTGCATGCATGTGAAGTAAACAAAGGGAGCTTACTTCTAATAGCAATTACAGCTCTTGGATTTTTTAATTCCTAACAAGCAGGGAAAATGTAATTCTGGATTCAAATGAATATGGTCTGTTGATAGGAATATTTTAGAAGCAAAAGCATGCTCGGTCTGGAAAATAAAACTATATGGAATACTACCATACAATTCTGAACCACCACAGAATAAACGTTACGGATAATAGATTCTGACATATCGTTAAAACATTCAAATGTATGACTGTGATCTCATATGTTAATAAGGAATTTCAACAGAAAAAATAAATTCGGTCTGTAAAGCATTATTGAAGTTCTGGTTGATTTACGGTTGAAAGAAATCATATTTAGATGTGGCCTAATTAGGCAATTGCTTTTTCACAAAAATCAGATCATGATTTAAGGTCTACAGACAAACATAGCTAAAAGCCAAGTCATTGAGCAAATTGTCAGTAAGTACTAGTCAAGCAAAAATTAACTGAAGGGCTTCCATGAGATAGACAGGGATTTCAGCAAGAGTTTCAGGTCACTGTGAGCATTAATGTTAAACAGTAAAAATACTGGCAGCTGTGGTAGGTGTTCTCCACTAGAATGCAGATTTTCATCGCTGATTTACTCTTCATTACAGGGGCAACCTGTGCTCCCTGTTGATACAATTCTTGTATATTTAATGCTACATCAGAAGTAGCATGACCCTAAAAAGAGTATTTTCAAAGTTCAAAATTCTGGATGGAAAAAGTTGGTGAACAATTTCAACCACCACATCGATTTTACCATACAGTTGGCTGAGAGTTCAGCTTTAACTATGAAGGACAAAAAGTGAGAACTACGTATGCTTCCACAAAACACTACCAATGTCTGTGGTTACTGCCCATTATTAACTCAGGTTAACTTTCAAATTCACCTCATAAAGCTCTGGTGAAAACACTGAAAACTGATGCATTGAAACTTCCCCAAGACCTATTGCAACACAGAGATGGAGGGACACACACGAAGTTTTCAAAGGGTTGCAGCAATGAGGTTTTAGCTGATGTGTGTGCATCTAAACACAGGCTGGTGACCAGTTCCCTCAAAGTGCTCCTGACAACACCATGATGGTCGTTCAAACATGGAGATGAACTGGCATTACTGTGGAAGAGCACGGACGTGCCAGAAGGATGAAAATAAGCCTTTCTATCTTATTAATAATAAGTGAATTTGAGCTTGTTTTTTTCATAGCTTGGGCAAAAAAAGGCTGTTTTCCACAAAAGGGAAAAAACCCTGGCACACCTTCGCTGGGAAACCTTTGCCTTTCACAGCCTGGCAGGACTCCCTGCGTTTGAACAGCATTATGTCTCTCCTGCCAGTTTTTACAAACTACAAGTATTTACGGGTTTGAACAGTATCATTTCTCTACCTTGAGGCTTTACAAACTACAGGTATTTATGGGTATCTGGTGTATACACAGTGAGACACGAGAGCAGAGGGATGCTCTCTTCAGGGCACACAGACAGGAGGGAACACCTGATCAGTTCCTAGCTCTCTGCTTAGCTTTTCGTTTAATAATTCCCTATATAAGCAATAACTATTGCAGCTTGATGAGAAGATGTTAGGATTACTATGGAGGAGAAGAACATTGGATTACATGTGGGAACAGAGGAATCTCCTGCAGAAACAGACTCCTGCACTACAACATTGGTTTATACCCACTCCATGGATGAGAGAGAGAACAGGTAGGTAAGACCTCTATGCAATAAACTTTAAGTTAAGCATTTGTTTCAGTCATTCATAGAGTTCTGAAATATATTAAAACCAAAATAGCTCCCTAAGTGATGAATTCATGCATTACATTTCAATCTTGAAAAAAAAGGTATAATAGAACTAAATTCTTCTACGATCTCAGAAATTGGTATCTATTTCTCTATTAATATTTCAATTGTTTTGCACATTTGGACATATTGCCCACAATTAAAATTCTGATAAGAAGTGGTGGAAGACTATAGAACTCACGCAGGTGATCTGTTTTCCATATATGACCCATAAACCTGCAATTCATTTGGGGTAAAATTTCAGTTTAATCTACTTATTGTGAGGCAAAGGTTGGTTTTTTTGACTTCATTTTCTGTTTTACTAAAGCATCAGAGTCCCTTATCTCTGGTTACAAGAGTTAGATGAAAATCCCTAATTAGGAAAAATACTAAAAATAAAAATGCAAATTATCCAAGAAGAACCAAATGTTAAGTTAAACAGCTATTAATAATGGTGGTGTTCATTCTAAAAGTAAAATGTGATGTAAGTCTCCTCATACAGCTTTTGTCCCTGGCAATATATTTTATGCTAGGTATCCTACCAGAGTTAAAAATTTGCAGTGTTTAAGTGTTTGATCTGGGGTAATTCCTTCATATTATCCAAGAAATTTTCATGCCACATAAATGTAGACAGTCCTGACAATATTCTTCTAGCAATGTAACTGATTAAGAGCTCAACTGAAAACACTGAAATTACATTAATTTCAGACAGCTTGGGGAGCATATTCATGATTTAATCTTCATTTTCGGTAGGCTGCAAAATTGATGAGAGACATCCTCTCTAACGCACATTCCTGTGAAACTCCATGGAGTTGCAAAGCTCTCATTGACTTCCACTCTGAGAGGAATATGGAATGCCCTACACG